CAGCGAGTTAAATCTTTAGAGAAATCCTCTTACTGCTCTGCAGACAGTCAGCCAGCTCCTCCTGCTTCATTCTCCTCAGGAAGTGCACTGTGATCTTCAGAAATGCCTCTCTGCTGCTCCTCCTCTGCTCTTCATCCTCACCGTCCAACACCTCCTCATCCTCCCTCTGACTCTCTAAGCATTCTGGGTAATCTGAACTCAGAACCTTCTGGATCTTCTTCAGCTCGTTCTTCACAAAAGTGACAATGTTGTCCTCCAGCAGCTGGAACAGAATATTATATGAATGACTCAATCAAAGTCAAATCATGGAAGCAAACATCAGATCCATGTTGGACAGACTGACAATCAAATATAGAGATTATTGTGAACAGAAAAGGTGTGAAAGTAGTTGTACATGTACAAACCATAAATACGGAGTCAAGGTGTGTTTGATGCTGCAGGGCAGACTGATGACTGGCAACTTCTAAACTCGCCCGGTCGTCTCTGTGGATGAATCATAAACAATTATCTCACATTATGTTTGTCCACACAGAGACAAACACAAGGTAAAGGTCCTTTGAGTTAAAGTGACCCAACAGTTCCTACCATGAGAAAGCACTTGTGAACAGCAGCAAGGAAAAACGTCCTTTTAAGAGGTAGAAACCTCCGAAAGACCCTGGCTCTAGGTGGGTGGCTGTCTGTCTCAACCAGTTGGGGTTAGAGAGAGTGGCAATTATCGTTGTTATTGTCATCATCTTCATAATCATTGGTCATTTCTACTATTATAGTTATTGTTATTGCTGTTTACCATTGTCTCTTTCTTTGTCCCTACTTTGCACTCTTGAATTTGATGTTATATTCATAGTTACAGGTGTTTTATGTTGTTTCCCCTTTTTATTTATTTTATTTATAAGAAAGGGAAAGTTAATCAATCAGACCTGGCAGCCTTACGTCCCTTCATGAGCCTATTCAATGCAAAATGTCCACCAAACCTGCCAGAGAAGACAAAGCTAAATGAAATCTGTTACAAGTAACTGCAGATAGAAATGGGAAACACTGCAAACGACAGCGTTCAATGAAACAAGGAAGGAACCCAGCTCTGAGACCGCATTGGTCCAGTACAGCACAGCACAGCACAGCACAAGGAAAGAGACGGATGCTTCTTCCTATTGATTTGGAGGTGATAAAAACAACCAGATGATAAGTGGAGATCCATTGTCCTTATCCACATATAGATCGAAAAGAAGCCCTGGCTGTGACCTGGGCACGAGAGTGCCAAAGTAGACATGCCATGTGAGTGGACTTCAATGTAAGAACTGACCACAAACCCCTCATAACGTTCCTCAAGTCAAGAACTGAACTTCGAAGGCTACTTTTCACAATATATTGAGGTGTGCAAACAGCCAGGTAGCATCTCAGCAAAACAGACTAGCGACAGATTTAAAGCTACCTTCACCAGGTATGGTTGTGCAGAGGTTCTTGTAACAGAAAACAGGCCACGGTTCTCCTGTCATGAATTTGCAAGACTTTGATTTCACACGTGACATGCAGTCCCAGATATCCTTGCAGCAATGGAAAAGCTGAAAAGGTTGTCCGAACAGTCAAGTCTTCTTGCACAAGAGGGGGACTTCCACAAAGCTCAGTTGGTTACAGAGCAGAGCAGAGCACTGGCCCATGGGAGCTTGCCAGTACAGTCGATGATGGCAAAGACTATTAGGACACCAGTCCCCATTTTCCACATGTTTCACGGAATGGGATACAACACTGAAAACACACCAAGAGCAAGCTTTCAACTATGCACCAGAACCTGTCCTCACTCAGGTCAGCAGTATTGTAAATGGACCATTCTTTAGGACAGGGTCTCTCTCTCTCTCTCTCTCTCTCTCTAACCAGATTTACTGTAAATGTCACACACCAACATGATAATGACAGAAATGGACTCCTACAGTACTAAGACCACAGGCCAGTCATTTTCAACAATGAACATTGTGTGCAATGTTTCACACACACACAAACTCTCAGTTCAACCAAGTCCACAAACAAAAATATAACAATTTACAATAGCGTTTTTCTCTTACTATGTGGCACTGAAGTTTGAAGCCTTGAAATGCGCTAATGACGCCTGGCATATAAAGCAGAATTGCTTGCCATACGTTCAACAAAAAAATATAAAACTCTCCCACTCTGTTAAAAACGTCCTGTGTTCATCTTCATTTTTTCGTTTTGCCTGTGCATTTTTTTCCCTGCCATTTTCAGAGCGAACTTGACACAAATTGTTTACTCAACAATAAGTTTTTCCCTCCCTCGCGGGCAGTTTTATGTTGCTTGTTGCGACGGAGGAGTCGAGCCTTCGTTGCCTCCGTCATGGCGCAAATTAGCGGGTTCACCCGGGTGTGACGTTCACATCAATGCCGATCGGAGGTCAATTAATATCGGGTGTTAGCGGGTTTACATAGGTTTTTTTTTTGGGCAGTGTGAAAGGGGCTATACACAACACAAAATTCGATATGAACGTAAGAGCCGCATGAAACCAGGCAAAGAGCCGCATGCGGCTCGGGAGCCGCGGGTTGGCCAGGCCTGGTATAGGGCTTCACAAATCCCCCAAAAAATATCCTAACCTGAAAAGCACCCGTCAGTGCACCCATCCCACCCCTTGATCTGTGTCTGAATTTTAGAATTTCATTGGTATCAATAAAATGTTATCAATACTACTACTCATAGCTTTAATTTTGGCTGATTGAGCTGCTTCTATCTGTTGAGCTCAGAAAGGTGTGAACCCAAAGATTGCTGCCTTTGGATATCTATCATTATTATTTGTCTCCACCCCACGCCCCATACTATAAGTCGAGTTCACTCAAAATTTGATACACACAAATACATTTTCCCTACAAATAAATCCCCTTGGACAAGGCTGAAAATTTTTACATTTTTGGTTTTTAATACTGTCAACACCAATTTTGGTATACAACTTTGCAGGACTGTGATACATCAACATATTATAAATGGAATACACGTTGTATAGCTGTGCCAAGATGGCCCATAAACACGGCCACCGTCAGGAAATTGGCCATAACTCAAGTTCTCTTAGAGCAATCCAAATTAAACTAAATGGCGGTACATACACACATTGTTCATGGAAGTTGTACAATTGGTGTCACTGCTTATTTAAACAGAATTAAACTAGAATCACAGCATATATGTATATTTGGTTTTGGTTTATATACCTTTTTTAAATTAGTCTTTTCTTTTCCTCTGTACTTTTCCCCTGTCCTCTGTGTTCAGTTAAAGAGAAGCTGACAGCAGATCCAGACAGTGAGATTGCTACAACAAGCCTTCGAGTTTCACTCATGTGCCCGGTAAGTGGCTTATCTACTGGTGACAGACTATTCAACAAATCGTGAGTATTACTGTCTGTAAGACTTTCGGGAGTCCAAGAACATTGTAGTAATTGTTACCTTGAATTTGTATGAAATGTTGGGGCACAGCTATGCACTTGTGCAAGGAACCAACCATTTTCTATGTTCATTAATGACTGACCTCAGTGTGTTTTGTCCAACAGCTGGGTAAGATGCGGCTTACAGTCCCGTGCCGGGCGGTGACCTGCTCTCACCTGCAGTGTTTTGATGCTGCCCTGTACCTGCAGATGAATGAGAAAAAGCCCACCTGGATCTGTCCTGTGTGTGACAAGAAGGCTGCATACGAGAGTCTCATCATTGATGGGTTAGCTAAACTAACTATCCAATTTACACAAAAAATAGCCTGTTGTTGCCGTTGCTGAAGAAGCTGCAGTAGTAACAGTAACATTTACAGTTTCTCAATGTAGCGATTGGAACTCCACATATTTTGTATATTAGCTAGATGTCACAAGCTGATCCTCAGTATTGGTATCATGGTCAATATAGGTATATTTTAATGCATGTACATCTGCAAAAATGACGCTGATCAAAATTTGATGATTTCTTTACTGAACTCTATCATGTCTCCACAGTCTGCTAGTGTCGCAGTGCTGCTCTCCTATGTTGTACATTTACCAGAAGCTGTGGGAAGTGGGCTGTCCTCCTTTGATAAGAGAGAGACAGCACTCTTAATATGCAAATGTCTTGACGTAGAGTAAACCCAAACAGTAGATTCTACAGGTGCATCTCAATAAATTAGAATATTGTGGAAAAGTTAAATTATTTCAGTTATTCGGTTCAAAAAGTGAAACTCATTTTCACACCGAGTGTGAGATTCATTAGACACCGAGTGAAATATTTCAAGCC